GGCCCCCCTATCAGCAGCGGGTGTAGAGAAAGGGGGGCCCCCATGTTGCTGCACAGCAGCAGCAGCAGAACACCAGCTGTCCCGGCGGGTACCTCTGGATCATCTGTCCCTGGGGCCTCCTTCAAAAGGCCAAGCATTCCTCCTGCTTTCTGCTGCTGCTGCTGCTGCTGCTGCTGCTGCTGCCGCTTTGCGGCAGCAGAAGCACACCTGCGGCATGCTGCAGCAGACACACAGGAGAGGCGGTAGCCCCAGCAATAAGGACCCGCCAGCTGAAGCGACCACAGAGGTGCAGCAGAAGCAGCAGCAGCAGCAGCAGCAGCAGCAGAAACAGCAGCAGCAGCAGCAGCAGCTTACAGCAGGATATGGTGCGCCTGAAGCAAAGGAGACTGGATATGGGGATAAGCAGCTGCAGCAGAGAAAAGAGGGGGGGAAGGCACAGCAGCAAGCGCAGCAGCAAGCGAGCTATCGGCTCCTGTTGCTGTTGGATGCCGATTGTTAGTGCTGCTGGTGCTGCTGCTGCTGCTGCTGCTGCTGCTGCTGGTGGTAATACGGTCCCTAGGGGGGCCCCCTGAGGGTGGCCCCCCAGTTGCAGCCCCGCCGCGTCTGGGTGTGAGTGTGAGGGGGGCCCTGCCCCCCCGAAACACTGCAGCGTGAGCAGCAGCGCATGCAGAGAGGCGAGACGGAGACAGCTGCCTAGTGCAACAAACAAAACATCAATAAAAGGTACAGACATACACAAGTATAATACACCCTGCATCATCACCTGTAGAGACAGCAGCACCAGCAGCAAGAGGCTCCCCTCCCCCCCCACCACTTCTATGCTGCTGCAGAGGCCTCCTCTTACACCTGACGGCTGCTGCGCTCCTTCTTGCTGCTGATGCAGCAGCAGCTGCTGCTGCTGCTGCTGCTGCTGCTGCAGCTGCAGCAGCGGCAACAGGCCCAGGAATGGACGAAGGATCAGCAGCAGCTTAGCACAGTGGGGAGCAGCAGCAAGCGCAGCCAGCAGCAGCTGCTGCTTGCGTTGTATATACACCCCGTCATCTATGACTGCAGCAAAGCCTCTTCCTCGGGGCCGCAGCAGCAGCAGCAGCAGCCGCTGCAGCAGCAAACCAATACCAACACCTTTAAGGGGAAACTGCTGCAGCAGCAACTGCTCCTGTCGCCGCCGCAGAGACTCCAGCAGCTGCGGAGAAGGGTACGAGGGCGGGGGCTCCTTAGAAAGGCTGCGGGGGAGGTGCTGCAGCACAAACTTACGGGAGCGCCGCTGCTGCCCATGCTGCTGCTGCTGCTGCTGCTGCTGCTGCTGCTGCTGCTGTGACTGTGAAGCCCCTCGCCTTCTCGTGAACGGACGCAGCAAGCAGCAGCAGCAGCAGCAGCAGCATTCGCAACTCGAAGATTCTGAATCTTCCTTCTCCTTTTGTTTGTGCTCACTCTCTAACCCAGTAGCAGCAGCAGCAGCAGCAGCAGCAGCAACAGGAGCAGCAGGAGCTGCAGCAAAGGCTGCTCGTGCATCATCTACGTCTGTAAGCGGATGTACATAGGAAGCAGATCCTGCGGAGCTACAGGTGCGAAGTGGTACTGCTGCTGGTGCTGCTGCTGCAGCTGCTGCAGCAGCAGCTGCTGCTGCTGCTGCATCTATAGAGTCGCTGTCTCCCCAGTCCTGGCTGTCTTGGGGTTGGAGGTTGAGAAAGGCCTGAGCCAAGGAGACGCTCTGGCGGGGGCCCCTGGGGGTGGGGCCCCCACTGAGACGCTGGAGGCCCGGGGGGCCCCCCCCTTCAGCTGTTCTAGCAAAGGTAGGGGGGGGCCCCAGGCGGTGTCTGCGTGCATCTACCGCCAGGGTAGGGGCCTCGTCCCCTCGTGCCTGTGGGGGTTTGAAGTGGGGGGCCTGCAGCGAGTGCAGGGGGGGCCTCGCGGGGACCACCTGCGGGGCCCCCTGGGGGGCCCCCTGGGGGCTCGCCTGGTAGGGGCCCCCCATAGGATAAGGAGAGAGCTGATGCTTGCAGGGGAGCCCGGGAGAAAACTGCAGAGACAGAGAGAGAGAATCCGCGCGACTAAGAGAGACTGTCTCCTCCTCTGGGGCTGCTCTGAAGCCTGGGTAAGACTCTAGGCGTACAGCGCGTGCAGGGAGCGGCACAGCAAGCTGAAGCTGCTGCTGCTTCTGTTGCTGCTGCTGCTGCTGCTGCTGCTGCTGCTGCTGCTGTTCGTTCTGCTGCATCAGGGGGGGCATCGTGGAGCGACGACGCCCCGCAAGAGCCCGCAGCGAAGACAGCCGCCCCCCCAGCCTTTTACCCAGCTGTCTGTGTTTATGCTGTTCTGCTGCAGCTGCATCCGGTGTAGCTGCAGTTGCTTTCCCTGCTGCTTCTGCTGCTGCTGCTGCTGCTGCTGCTGCTGAGTCATTGGATGCTGTTGCTGCAGCAGCAGAGTCAACAGCAGCAGACAAACTGATGCGCATCCCCTCTGGCTGAATACTCTCTTTCTGGAGTCTCCGCATTCTCTCAGTATTGAGGGCCTTTGCCGTCGTGGGTCTCAGCAGCTGTTTCTTTGAAGCTTCTCCACCTCTTGCTGCTGCTGCTGCTGCTGCTGCTGCAGCAGCAGCAGCAGCAGATGCAGAT